ACTACCACTACCACTGCCACTACGACGACGACGACGACTACTACTACTACTAACTTGGCGGGCTGCTGCTGCTTGGTGGGCTGCTGCTGCTGCGGCGGCGGCTGCTGCTACTTGGTGGGCCGCTGCTCCAGCTGCCACCGCTGACCTTCGGTTGGTTACCAACCACGGCTTACATCAAACAAGGGTTTGCACCAACCACCGTTGACACCAAACCACTATCACGGTTTACACCAACCCCGGTCTACACCAAACCACGGCTTGCGCCAACCCCCGTTTACTGCTGCTTGGTGGTCTGCTGCTACTGCTGCTTGGTGCTCTGCTGCTGCTTGGTCTGCTGCTGCTGCTGGGTCTGGTGCTGCTGGGTCTGCTGCTGCCGCTGCTGCTGCTGCTTGGTCTCCTGCTGCTGTTGCGTCTGCTGCTGTTGCTGTTGCTCGGTCTCCTGCTGCTTGGTCTGGTCTGCTGCTGCTGCTGCTGCTTGGTCTGCTGCTGCTGCTGCTGCTGCTGCTTGGTCTGCTGCTGCGTCTGCTGCTGCTTGGTCTGCTGCTTCTTGGTCTTCTGCTGCTGCTTGGTCTGCTGCTGCTGCCTCTGCTGCTGCTTGGTGGGCTGCTGCTGCTGCGGCGGCGGCTGCTGCTACTTGGTGGGCTGCTGCTCCAGCTGTTGCCGCTGACCTTCGGTTGCTTACCAACCACGGGCCGCTGACCTTCGGTTGCTTACCAACCACGGGTTACACCAAACAACGGTTTTAACATGTTTTAACTAACCACTGTTTACACCAAACCACGCTTTACACCAACCAAGGTTTACACCGAACCACAGCTTGCGCCAACGTCCCTTCACACCAAACCACGGCTTGCAGCGACCACCATTGACACCGAACCACGGTTCACACCAACCACGGTTTACACGGTTTACACCAAACCATTAGCTGCTTTGCTGCTGTTTGTTTGTTGCTGTTGCTGGTTTTTCTATTGCTGCTGCTTGGTGGTCTGCTGCTGCTGCTGCTGCTGCTGCTGCTTGGTGGTTTGCTGCTGTTGGCTGCTTGGTGGATTGCTGCCACACCAACCTTTCGTCCACCCCCCGTTTCTCAAGTTATTACGGGTACGTCCAAACAATCGCGAAAAATGGCGACGGGGGCCCCCCTTTGTCAAGATGAATCTAACATCAGTTATGTAATTTGCAACTGACAAGAAGCGGTTTTCTCCCGCTAGTTTCAGAGCTGCAGTGTATCAAAGAGTATGTCATGGAACGGATTTGGGAGAGAAAATGCAGAAAATGTAAATGAATCATTTGAAAGATATTGAAAAATAGCCATCGATTGGAACACGATGCCAATCGATGCACATCAGGTTGCGTGACCAATCACAGTGGAAGATGGCGTATACGTAGGCCAAAATTTTGGAACAGCCCCAAGTCCTCATACTCATGCAATCATTGTCCCATGCATGATGGTGTTAGGCTTGGTTTGGAACATGCACAGGGTGGCCGTGACATGCCTTGACGGTTGGAGGGGAACATCAGTATGTAAAGGGTTGCGGGATACGCCTCACAACGGCCGAATCTTTGGGGTTTTGCTATGTCCCTTTTCACAGGGCTTCAACAACGGTGAGTTCTCTGCTTGGGTTCAGTCCTCGGTAGTGAGCGCCCTGTCAGATGCACAATGAATGCTACCCGGTGGTCGGCCAGAAAGTAACTCGCGAGTTGCGACGAACAAGGTCAACAATCTAAGAGCTTTTGCAGGCTCTATATCCCCAGTGCTTTATGGCCAGGCTCTTCGGTGGCAAAGCAATGCAAGAGATCAAATATGGTATTTGATTGTGTTTTACACTGAAGATTGGTGGGCTTGGAAACGCTTGGAAGAACCAGAAACGCTCTTGTCAGATGTGGGAGAAGGGTTTGTTTTGCTGATGTGCAGGTCTACGCTGCGGCAGAGCATAGACGCAGCTTGCATGAATTTGAGATTGGTGCAAATGCTGGAGTCCAAGAGAATTACATTTGCACTTGTCAGGCAAGAATCCTGGTTTGACCTTTCTTTTGGCCGGGACTCTGGGAGCACTATTGCCACAGGCCTCAATGCTTGATAGGTTTGACTGTTTGACAAGGAGCTGTGTTTCAAACGGTAGGCTGGTGAAGGGTTCAAAGACAATTGCGCAGGTGATACTCAACTATGTCTCAGACGGTGACATGATAGCTTGAAAAAGGAAGTTGTTGGTGAAAGGTAGCTTCCGAATAGCCCTCGAGGGTTTGGCTGCCTCCCCTTCGATCCCCCTTCCACGCAGTATGGCTGCGATCATTTGCGACCATGTTTATGCAATTTGGAGGCAATAGTTTGTGATGTCGAGCATAGCATAACCGTCGCAGCGAATAAAGGTTCCTTGTTGTCGTCATTAATTTCATAAATAGATGGGGGCGTGGCGTTCCTTATGAACCATGGACCCTCGGAGTTCATTTTGGACAATTCTATAGAGGGCATTTTATAGGCGCATGCGCCCGTGAGTTTCTGTAGAATGCCAAACCTCAAGGTGTGTGATTTTTATAAACCATTGTTTTTTTGTGAAATATACCTTGAGACCACGGGTTCTATAGAGGACTGGATTTTGCTTGTTGTGCTCATCATCGAAGAACGTCAGGGATAGAATGTTTGTAAGGTCGGACTATTTTTGTTGGGGGGGTGATTTTATGAGGGTGGGTGTGCTTGGGAGAGCACACACTAGCTCAAAACCCTTAGAAAACACGGTAAATACCGTGCAAAATTTCGAACTAGGCGAAACGCATTTTTTTTTTGATTTGTTTGTGCCCAGTCTCCATGTCCAATGTCAATGACAACAAATAACAGCTCTTCGTCTGCCCACTATCAATGTGCAACACCAATGATAAATATTATCAGGTAAGTCTCTCTCTGCCCACAATGAGTGTAGCATCATGAGCGAATGAAGATGTAATATTATACATCTATAATATTATACATCTCTAGATTCAATAGCTTTCCTCTGGATCTCTGGGAAAGTAGATTTCCTAGATTTGTGTATTTTCATTGAAGGAAAGCTTTTGAAAGAAACACTTACATACATATTTATAGCTTTTTAAAATACCATGACTATTTCCAGAGATCCAGAGGAAATATTTTGAAATGAAAGCTTTATATATTTCACAGAAGTGATCAGATCTAGAGGGAACCTTTTGAATTAGAAGCTTGTACATAAAGCAGTTTTGATATAGCAATGATTATTCCAAGGGATTACTTTAAACAAATACCATCTACTCAAAAACATAGCTTTTGTCATATTCCCAGCACTCCTAGGGCAAGAAAACACTGTAAAATATAGGGTTTTGTAACATGTGTTTTCTTAAACCAACTAAACTAGAATTAAAATAGAATAAGGTAAACTTAAATTAGAAGATTTCAATCAAGATCCGTTTAACATTGATTGTGGAAATTGCTATTTTTTAGATATTAGATTGCAATAAAAGACCTTTCCAAGTTCTCTTTAAAACTCATTGTGGAAACTAGTTCTTACAATTAGATTTTAGTTAAAGTCCTTTTCAAAGTTAGTGGTGGCTTTGATTTAATATCAGATTGTATTTAGAATCGATTTAAGAGTCATTGTGGAAATTGTGATGCTTAACTAACTTGAATTGTTGTTGTATCTTTTTGCTCCCCACTACAAGGCAACATCAAGTAAAAGGACTTTAACTAACATCTAATTATAAGAATTGATTTCCACCATTAACTGTTAACTGAAAATTGGTTTCCACAATCAATTCTAAAAGGGTCTTGATTGATATCCAATACACAAGCAATTCAATCAAATTATGTTGAAAATAAATTAAAGTAAAATCTAAACAACAAGCAATTTCCACAATGATGTTGAAAAGGACTCTAATTGACATTTAAGTAATGACTAATTTCTACAATGAAATATAGTAGGATTTTAACTGAAATCTAATTCAAACTCAATTGCCACAATGATCTTGAAAAGGAATTTAATCGAAGTTGAATTGCACATTCATTTTTCTATAATTAATTTTGAAGAAATGTTACTTGAAATCTAATATAAAAATCAATTTCCCCAATGATTTTGAAAATGGTATAAATGAAACTTAGTTTGTAAAAAATATACAATTAATCTTAAGCACATTTTTTTAATAGAAAGCTAATGATAAATCAACTTCCACCAATAATTCTGAAAGCGTTTTAATTGAAGTCTAATGCCAAAATCAAATTCCACCGTCAAACTTAAATGAAGCAAAAACACTGTGTTTTACAGTGATTTTTGGCTAAAACCTCTCCAGCATTGAGGTTTTGAGCTATTTGTTGATCAATTTTGTGAGATCCAGTTTAGAGAGAATACTAAAAAAACCAAAAAATAGCTCAAAACCTCAATGTTTTTTTGTGTTTTGGTTTATTGTTGTTTTGGTTTATTGTTGTTTAGTTCTTTAGTATTCTCTCTAAACTGGGATAGGCTTGGATCTCACAAAATTGATCAAAACATAGCTCAAAACCTCAATGTTGGAGAGGTGTTTGCAAGAAAGCACTGTAAACACAGTGTTTTTGCATCATTTTTTGCATGAAAAACATCTCCCAGGAATCTATAGAATAGAACAACCAACCGGTGGGATAAATGAATTCATAAATAAATACAATTTTAAATATTTGTTTTACATATCTTGAAACAACCTTTATATGGAATTTATATATATATATATTTTAGAATGTTTGCATGTACAGCCCATACATACTCCGCTATAGTACTGCAGACACGTGACTCATGACGTGTTTTGGCTCAAGGGAAAAAGGCGTTCCGAAACGTCGAAACTTTATTTTCATGGTAGCGCACGAGTCCGGTGAAAGTGAAAGGGACAAAGCGCTGCGCATAAAGGAAGAAAGACACAGCAAAGTCGAGAGCTCCGAGGAGGAGGAGCTGGGAACCTCGGGAGCGGCAGCTTCTGCCGCCCCGAGTGGAAAAGGAGAAGGAGGAAAAGAGAAAGAGGAGGAGACAGAGCCTTTGCCAGCCACATCAGCGGCGGATCCAGCCGCAAACACCACTCCAGCGGTTGAGGAAACCGCAGAAACAACTTCAGCGGTCGAGAAGACCGCAGAAACAAAAGAAGAAGAGGAAAGCACAAAAGAGACAGAAGGAGGAGAAGAAGAAGAGCCTGAACAGGATCCAACAGTCGAGCCAGGGGCTGAAGCGGCTGATCCAGCCGCACAGCCAACATCTGGCCGAATTATCGCCGATTTCCAAACCTCCCCAGAGGGTATCAAAACAGGTTGGGAAGTTCGTGGCATTCACGCCAAATATACCCCAGCCAAGGTTGATCCCAAGGCCCCTTGGAGGAAACAGTTGAAGAAGCAGATTTGGGGCCAGGTCAAGAAGCATCCAGAGCCGCAGTCCGGATTTCGACTTCGAAGCAAGGTTTCGCTTCAGTATCGGAGGCTCAAGGACCTGGTCAGGCTGGAAAAGAAGAAGGGTGTCATTACAGAAGACTTGAGGAGGCGTATCAAGGACTTCGGAAAGGGACGCACTCCACAAGAGATCAAAGAAGAGCGGGAAGAGCAGAAGGCCCGCAATCAGGAAAAGCGGACCAAGAAGAGAAAGGCCTCAGAGAAGACCGAAGCGGCTGGTTCAGCCGAGGAGGAGGCCGAAGAGGAGGAGTCGTTGAGCCAACCAAGTCCGGTTCGGCAGCCCCGAACACCGGACGGGCCACCGCCGGCTAAGCGACCGCAAACCCGCGACACCGAGCGGGGACGGGCGGTCTGGGGACGTGCACTGGAGTTGAACCTCCGCATTGTTACCCTAGCCAACGAGCGGGCCCAGCGATTGACGATAGAAAATTGGAAATTAGAGAGCCCATTCCAAGTGCGAAAGCTTGCGGCCGACGAGCTTGTTGAGCAGCGAGGCCTCAAGGGTACCGTTGCATTGGCCGCCATTCGTGAACTCTGGAAGACCCCCAACGACCAAGGGAAGAGAGGATCCAACGAGGCCTGTAGTTCTTGTGACGAACGACGGCAGGCACAGCTGCCCGTGGTTCAGGACTACATCAAACGGCGAGGGCTTAAGGGACCTGCCCTTCCGAAAGAGAAGGCCAAATCGAAGGCTGCACCAAAAGAGAAGGCCAAAGCAAAGGCCACATCGACCGTGGGTCGCCGCCCGGAAGAGCTCACACGGACCACAGTCGAGGTCCGTGGAGTGCCAAAAGCTTCCGAGCCTTCCCAAGGGTGAAACCCTTGGACCGGCCTGGTAAGGGGCCGGAGATCGGACGAATCGTCCGCTGCTGAAAAGGCGCGAGAGCAGCGCTAACAGGGTTGAGAGTAGGAAACCATGGCATTGGAACAACAGATCCAACAGTTGTCTGATATGGTTTTGCAGCTTCAGCAAAACCAGACACGGTTGGAACAAGAAAACCAGGTGTTGAGGGAATCTCAAGGTGGGGTATCAATGTTGGCTTCAGCCGTAGACGAACTGGCCAAGAGCCTTGAGAAGAAGGAAGATAGACGAAAGTCCCAAATCCTTATGGACACCAAAGGTTTGGGTCGCCCCGAGAGTTTTGGGAATGTTGAAGGGGATTTCCGAAAATGGGCCAGGAGCATTGACAACCTGTTCATATCCACTTTTGGAAGAGAGTTCATTGAAGTTCTAGAGTATCTTTTGAAACAGGAAGACGCGATTGAAATGAGTGATATGGAATCCGCATTTGGGACTGGCACCATAGCAGCCATTGAAGATCTTGAGGATAAAGCGGATCAAATTCATCGCGTCCTCCTGACCCTAACCTCAGGTGAAACAGAAGATTTGATGGTAGGAGCTTCAAATGGATTTGAAGCATATCGGCGAGTTCACCGTCGTTGGGATCCCCGAACCTCGGGACGGAAACGCAATACCCTTCGAGCGATTCTCCAACCTGAACGAGTCAAGACGTGGGCCGCGGTGAGGCCAGCGATCGAACAGCTCGAAGAGCTCATCAGGCGGTACGAGTCCCGGAGGAGTGCCGCAGGAATAAGGGAGACTGCCCCCAGATTTGGAGAAACACCTTTTGTTGAACAAGAGTAGATTGACAACCTATTCGTTGATCAAACAGGAGATTGAACTGGTCATTGAATCATCTCTCACATCCAAGTCATCTGTTCCAAAACCAGGTTCATCGAGTTCTAGTTACCAAGGACCTCAACCCATGGACGTCGATTCGATCGGACAATGGATTGCAAGCCTAGT